GATGGATGGATGGATGGATGGATGGATGGATGGATGGATGGATGGATGGATGGATGGATGGATGGATGGATGGATGCATGAAAAAATGAATGTATGGATGGCTGCATGAATAGATGGTTGCATGAAAAGATGGATGGATGGATGGATGGATGGATGGATGGATGGATGGATGGATGGATGGATGGATGCATGAAAAAATGAATGTATGGATGGATGCATGAATAGATGGTTGCATGAAAAGATGGATGGATGGATGCATGAAAAATGGATGTATGGATGGATGCATGAAAAAATGGATGTATGGATGGATGCATGAATAGATGGATGGTTGATGCATGAAAAGATGGATGGATGGATGGATGGATGGATAAATAAATAAATGGATGGATGGATGGATGGATAAATAAATAAATGGATGGATGGATGGATGGATGGATGGATGGATAAATAAATAAATAAATGGATGGAAGGATAAATAAATGGATGGATGGATAATTGGATAAATAAATGGATAGATAGATAAATGGATGGATGAACACCTCACTAAACTATTAAACATTTAACTTTTGTTCACTGTTTGTTTATTTTTGTTTCCCTTCAGGGTGAAAGAGAAGAAGATAAACAACAGTAAATTTTACTCCTGAGGCCTCACCTGTCTGAATGTCAGACGACCAACTGATGGAGATGAATTTCTCATCACGTCACCTGAAATGATGACAACCTAATGTTACCTAGAAATATTATTTATTTAGGGTTTTAAAAAAGTAACAACAGAAGGATTGAATATTTTTAGTCGTATAAATAAAAACATTTTGGGAAATGTTACTTTTCTCGCAGGCATCCAGCAGCRCTCCTCTTTAATCAAACTGTTGTTCTGATGGTATTTATTTTGAATAAAATGTTAAAACGTTTACCTGAAATTATCATTTCACTGCAGGACACTTCTGCTGTTCTGCTCCCACTGCTTGTGTTGAATTCTTTTGTTTTCATTTTTCAGTTTGAGTGGATTGTTTGACCTTATTTTCTTTTTGTCGGGTTTTTTTTAATCTGAATTGAGATTATTAGAGATTCACTCCGACACAACGAGAATGTTCATGAAGCTTCTGTGAATCTGTTGTGACTGTGTTGTAAACTGTGTCAATAAAGCAGCTTGTTTCTTTCATTCCTGTTCATAATGTCACRCTCAGATTATGTGCTGAGGATACCACACCAAACTTTAGCTCAACATTAACTGATTTTAAGACTTTTTCTAAGGTCAGATAGCTGYGGCGGCCMTCTTGAATCAGATTGGCTCCAAAAGTTGGTCAGGCGTAGAGGTTACAGGTTTTTATGTCCTGAGAGTCCTGAGATATTTTGCTAACAGACATGAACATGTTTTTTTGACATAAACAAGCAATACAAGCGTCCACACCCAGGGAGCACCAGTGAGCAGTAGGGACCAGTGTTTGTGTACTTCCSTATTTGTGGGGACCAACTGGTCCTTTTTAGGACCTGAGTCTGGTTCAGGTGGGATAAATTGAGTCTAGAGTTGGTTTGGGTAAGGGGTACACTATAGAAATGAATGGAAKTCAATGCAAAGTCCCCATAAAGATAGGAGTATAGGACGGGTGTGAAAGTTTCAGGGTTTTGTTTTTTTTTTTTAGGACTTTTTGATAACACCTACCTTTTCAGGACCATTAGTCCTTTTGGGGACAATAATCTGGTCCTAATATGGTGGAACTCCATTTTTGGATTAGGGTTAGGCTACAGAAAAGACTGAAAATGAATGCCCGGTCCTAATAAGGATAGAAATACAAGTTTGCGTGTGTGTGTTGTGTGACATGTTAATGAGTTACTCAGGTGAGGGGCCTCTGGGAGCCATATGGGAGGCAAACAGAGGAGGAGATGATGAAACACTTCACCAGAAGCCACCATTAGTCACCTGTCAGGGCAGGTGGACGGAATGCCGGCTTGATTTCTGAAATTTCACTGGATTATTTAACACTTTTATACTTTTTACCACTTTATTTTTTACCATATTTCCCTTATTTGTTCTTTGAGTCAACACAGAGACTCATCCAGTTCCGGTTTTATCTGAAGACTGTTACTGGAGGAGGCTTTTCCTCATCAAAGGCTTTTATTTTGACATCCAGCTCGGATTTAAGGAGTTTATTCTGGTTTGAACTGAACAAAACTGTGRGATTATGGCAGACTTTCCGTCCAAGGTGACCACAGAGACCAGTTCCCCCAACTCTCAGAGCTCCCATCAAGGGGGGAACAGCCTGGGAGGAATGGCTGCCAGCATCTCAAGCAACCTGGACATGTCCTTTATCCGGAGCGTCCCAGCCATCCTCATGCTGGCTGAAATAGTACGTATCACACTTTGCTTCATCACAGTGACATTTTGTTATGTTTGTTCCAGATATTTGTCAAAACTGTAAATGTTTATCACCTGTTTTTCACAGAGGATATAAAAACCTTTTCAAGGCCTCAGTTTGAGCATTGTAAGTAWCAGTTTATCCATTAACCGGGTCAGAAACAGGAAGTTCAGGTCTGAGAGTAAAAATTGATGATTTGTTCTGTTTGTTTTCCGCAGTGAGATAATTGAGATGTGGGACAGAAATGATCAGGATACAGTGTAGTTCAGTGTTTCCTCTCTCTTTGGAAGGAAATAGAGACCATGCAGCTGGTCTGATAAGTCCTGAAGAGGCCCTTGGAGGTCCTGGGCCCCTCCTGATGGCTCTGATCCTTACAGGAACAGTTCTGAATGACAGAGTTCTTCACCAAATGTACTTGCAAAGTGGAATCAAAAAAAAATATTTTGGGGTCAAAATATGTCTAYAGCTCTTCCCAGAAACATCTTACACTAAAAACCTTTTCTACTTCTTTTAAACTCATTTTTTATCCACCTTTTCTACCAGGTGTGGTCCGCTCTAACAAAAGATAAGTTAACTTCTGACAGAATAAGGTGTGTTCAGAGAGATAATAAGAAGTGAACATTGACTTAAGATCATAAAACTCAGTTTGTGAGTCATGTAAACAAGCACAGGTGGGATCGTCTGACGTCTGCTCTTAAATTCACTTCATATTTTCTTCTATCCGTCACAGAGTGAAATAACAGAGTGTGAGGAGGCTTGTTTTCTGAAATAACTATAAAGAAAGAGCAGATGAGGAAGATTTCAGTCAATAAACTCAATTTGTCGCATTTGAAACTGCAACAAAGTCACATTTAGAGTCACCAACTTTGTTTTTGTTCCACTTTCAGACCCAAACATGTTTTAATCCTCATGCAGCCGTCTGCCTTGTGTTTCTTTTAAGTTTCAGCCGTTCTCATGTTTCCTTTTGAAATATTAATTATTATTGTGGCTATTAAAAATCCACATGAAGAAAATAAACACAGGGATTAATGTTTTTGTTGTAATTCATCCGCATCAAAGTTCAAACAAGGGAAAAATATATTTAGATAGATGTGTAAAGGTCAGAGGTTGTGTGTGTATTTGTGTATGTGTGCGTATGTGTGTGTGCCCTTGTTTTTGCTACTTGGTGGGGACAGTTGTTCTGGGAAATGCAGCCTCATAACCAAAGCCCAGTCCCCACGACTTCGGAGGCTGATTTTGGGGGTTTAGGTTTAGGACCAAGGTGTGAATTGAGTTTCGGTTAGTTTCAGGGTCAGGTAGGTACCTGTGAGGTTAATTTTAGGGTAAATGGTCAGGTTTAGGACATAAAATTACCAAAAAAAAAAATGAATGGAGCCAATGGAAAGTCCCCACAAGGATAGAGAGACATAGTAGGTGTGTTTGTGTGTGTGCACCTGGTGTGTAAAAACAGAAACATGATCTCTGCATCAATAATGGATCATCGTTTTATGTCTGTTCTGCAGCAGAGACTAAATGTCCTTCGTGTTTTACTCGTTTCCCTCCTCCTCCTCCTCCTCCTGCTCCTCCTGCTCCTCCTCCTCAGTGGGTCTTCAAGTTCTGCAGAAACCCCTTCATTCATTCAAACCATGGGCCGGCCCCAATTTGTCACCCTAGGCAAGATTTCAGGTGCCTTCCCTTTGTGCAGTTTTCTAAATCTCTCTGCCAACTTACATAACGTCACATACGAAAAT